GCCACCCGCTATTTACTATCCGTCACCTGCTGAATTTTAACCGCTGTACCAAATAAGCCCTAATAACACTTCAATGTCCATAAAAGAGTAACATAACTTCAAAATTAAGTTTCGAATATATATAACATAGCATTCATATTAAGCTAGGCGCGCTTTCCAGCTTTATATTGTGTGTGAGCTATGTTTCCTTTTGTTGGAACGCAAGGAGAAAGGAACTAAGACATTCGCTTCAAAATTTGCCTGAGGTAGGATTGGCAGTTAACGGGAGGGCGATTGGTCTCGCTCTTCTTGTTCTCTGAGGATGATAAGTTCCCTCAGCTGTTGCATTTCTTTTCGCAAATTTTGGTTTTTTTTTTTTTTTTTGCCAACGTCTTGGTTTAATTAGATGCAAATTTTTTATTTTCTCTTTTCTTTTTAATTTGACTATTTTTTTTGTTGAAAAAAAAACTTAGGGAATGACTATGCGTACCTGTAGTATAAGAAAGAGATAAAGATTACTCTGTCTCTTTATCTTTAATAGATTTAATTTGAATTTTTAAATTTTTGGACATACATTTTAAATTAAAATTTAGCAATTTATATAAAAGAAAACTGCATATTAGACTCTAAAAAATAATTAAAGCCCTAACCTTAAATTACGTATTTTTATTTAATTAAAACTTAATTTAAAATTTTAAAATTTATTTTATTAAATATTAATAATTAAATTTAGAAACTGAATATATCAGAATATATAATAAATTTTCAAATTTAAATATCAACATTTAATAAAATAAGATTTCAAGTTTTTAAATGTAAGTTGAGATTTTGAAAGTCAAGATTAATACACACTAACATTTTTATATAAATAATAATTAAAATTTTTTTTCTTCATACATGAAATTCTTATTGAGTATTTTTATTTAATTAAAAATATTTATTATTATTTATATAATATATTAAATTTGAATTTGAATTTATATTTAAAAAATAAAAAAATTAAATTAAATTTGTTAAAAATAAATAGAGAAAGTAGAATTCTTTTTAATACTTCCTTTGTTTCAAAACTATTGTCTTTTTATAACTTAAATTTATTTTAAATTAATTATTTTTTAATTTTAAAGTAGATAAATGTTTTTTTACTTTAACTTTATTATTGCTTTTTTACTTTAATTATTATCTTATCACACAAAAAAAATCTCTTTTATTTTTTTTTTATTTTTATTTTTAGAGAATAATATATGTAAACAGATAAATTATCCTCAATCCTTACTATAAAAAAATAAAAACTAATAGTTATTTTGGTAAGAGTAATGATAGGGAGAAAAAAATTTTGGGATGGAAATTTAAAATCAATGATGTGGTAAAAATTATATTATTAAATTAATTAATATATACAATATTATGAGTTTTAAAGAAAGAAAAAGAGTCAATTATTAAATAATATAATATTTACCTCTTCAAATTTTACATAACAAAATTTATATCACATCATTAATATTAAATTTTGATCCCAAATTTTAATTCTACTCTTTTGGTAAAGATGGAGTACTTTAATATAGTAGAATAATAAAATTGCTCTCTTCTAATTTTAGTAAGTGTAATTTTTTAATAAAATTGAGATATAAAAATTATTTAATAAAATTTCATATTTATCTTTAATTAATTATGTATTGTTTAAATAAATTTTTTATTTAATATATATTATGATTATCCTTTTAAAATAAAAATAAAATAAAAATAACAGATTAAGAAATATTTTTGAAAATTTTAAATTTAAATATTCCAAATTAAAAACAACATCTAGGGGTAAGTAGTAATAATAAAGTTAATTAAAAAAATCGTTATCTATACTAAATTCTAAAAAAATGTGTGAATATTTGAAACAAATTTTGAGCCAGAAAAACAATTATCATTATCAAAGAAGTAAATATCGTACTGTACCAGTTGGTACGATCGGCACGTACCGGTTTTGACACTTAACCAAAACGGTATAATACTAATTTTCATTTCGATCAAAATCCGATGTACTAGTGGAAATGTTGTGTACCGGCCAGTACACAAAATTTCGGCCGGTACACTTTAGCCCCAAATAAAATAAAATAAAATAAAAGATTTCCTAGTCCAAAACGACGTCATTTTGGACTAGGGCTTTTAATCCCTGCAAATCTACAATTTCAGATCGAACATCAAACCAAAGTCGAACATCACATAGCCTTGCCCTCCGATCCGACCCCCTTCACCGGTGGTGCAAGGCGTGCAGCTACTACTGCTCCTCCTTCCTGTTGTGCGAATCGGCACCCTAGATCTTGGACTTGGAGATCGATTCGTGGGCTTGTAATTTCAGATTGAATCTCTGCAATTTCTGCAATTTCATATTATAGTTTCCACTTTCTAGCTTCGCAAGTGGTCGGGTGGTCCAATCCAGCTACTACTCTCTCTTATTAATTCATGGGCTAGGGGCTAAATCTTGCATCTTGATCCTCTTCACCCCTCTCCAGCAACCCAGCTTCATCTCCAGTAGCCGAGCTCTGTCCCCAACAACCGAGCTTCGTGTCCAGCAACCCAACTCCGTCTCCAGCAGCTCAGCTCCGTCTCCAGCAGCCTAGCTCTGTCTCCAGCAGCCTAGCTCTGTCTCCAGCAGCCTAGCTCCGTCTCCAGCAGCCTAGCTCTGTCTTAGGTATCTTGCATGAAAATTCCTTTTCCTCTTAATTCTCTCGGTCTTTATCTTGTTTGTTAATTTCATTACTAAGTGAAATAGTGAATATCTTTCCTTTTGAATTTTGGTGCGATTGATTTGCAATTTTTCATACATATGAATAAAAACAGTACTACTTTGTCAAGTTGCTCCCGTAATAAATCTGTGAAATTGTGCATCCAGCCATCCAAATTAGAAATAGCAGGACAATTGTTAGTTTGTTAAATCATTAGGCTCACATGGCGTGGTTGATTGCTGCAATTTATGAAACAGTTGTTATTTTTCTGTTTGTAGGATATCATGAATACTAGTGGTTTTGGCAATGGCACAGGAGACTCTATTGGATCCACTCCTTCTAAAACAGATGATCCTGCTTGGGCTCATTGTTTGATTATCCCAAGCAGAAGGAATCAGACTAAATGCTTATATTGTGATAAGCTCAAACTAGGGGGTGGAATTACTAGATTGAAAGAGCATCTTGCTGGAATCAAAGGCAATGTCAGTGCTTGCAAAAAAGTTTCAGCAGATGTGAAGCGGCAAATGCAACAGTTGTTGAGTGAGTTAAGGAAAGGGAAAGAAAAAAGAAAGAGACTTGGGGATATGGTTGGGAGTCAATGTGATTCACAAATATTTGTTGATGAAGATTATGAAATTGAAGAAAGCCATCGATCTCAATCACATGTAGCACAACAGAAAAAAAATATTAATTCATATTTTGTACCAAGGACACTCCTGGAGCCCAGAAAACCATAAAAAATGCTTTGCAATCAAGAGAAAAACAAGAAGCTTCTAGGATGGCTATTGCTAGATGGTGGTATGATGCTAATGTGCCTTTCCATGCTACCCGTTCAAAATACTACTTGCCAATGTGGGATGCTGTCACATCTATGGGACCTGGTTTCAAGGGATCGAGTTACCATGATTTGAGAGGTTCTTTCTTAAAATGTGAAGTAAAGGAAGTTAATGAATGGCTCTTATCTTTGAAGTCAATATGGAGTACCATTGGTTGCTCAATTATGGCAGATGGATGGACAAATCAAAGACAACAATCAATAATTTATTTCCTTGTTTATTGTCCTAGAGGAAGCATGTTTTTGAAGTCTGTTGACACTTCTGGTTTGACAAAGGATGCCGATACATTGGAGAGGATGTTTGATGAAGTGGTGAAAGAAGTAGGAGTGGAAAATGTGATACAATTTATAACAGACAATGATGCTTCATTCAAAGCTGCTGGGAAAAGGTTGGAAGCAAAGTACAACACATTTTTTTGGTCTCCTTGTGCTACCCATTGTATTGGCTTGATATTAGAAAATTTTTTTGATGCAAGATACTTTCTTATAGTTGATACTACTATAGGAAAGGCAAGAAAAATCACAAAGTTCATATATAATCATTCATGGGTGCTAGCATTGATGAGGAGGGACTACACAAATGGGAGAGATTTGTGTCGTCCTGCTGTTACAAGATTTGCTACCCATTTTTTGAGCATCCAATGTTTATTGAAATTCAAGAAGGAGCTTAGAAAAATGTTTACAAGTAATGCATGGGTTGATTCTAGGTATGCAAGAAGTAGTGTTGGGAAAGAAGTATGTGAAATTGTCTTAGAAGATAGAGAATTTTCGTCTAATTGCATATTGATTGTCAAAATCAGTAAGCCTTTGGTGAGAGTACTTCGACTAGTGGACAATGAAGAGAAGCCGAGTATGGGCTACTTGTATGAGGCAATAGATAAGGCAAAGGTGACAATAAAAAAGAATTTTAATAATAGGTTGTCTCAATACATGCCTTACATTAAGGTGATTGATGCTAGATGGGATAAGCAACTTTATAGCCCATTACATTCAGCTGGTTGCTTTCTTAATCCAGGTATCTACTTTAGGCTTGATTTTAACAAACAAACTGCTGTTATGAGAGGTTTGCTTAATACCTTAACAACATTGATACCGGATGAGGAGAAGCAAGATCTCATTAGTTCACAACTTGAGGAGTATAAAAAAGCTACAAGAACCTTTGGCATGAGTTTGGCTATTCGTCAAAGGGAAAAGTTAAATCCAGATAATTTTCTTTCATCTTAGCTTTCTTTTCATTTTATTTAAAAAAAAATTACTTTATTTATTTTAATGAACATTGTATTTTATTGTTTTTATAGTTGCATGGTGGGATTAATTTGGAACGGATACACCAAAATTGCAAAAGTTTGCAATTCGAGTGCTTAGCCAATGCACAAGTGCAACTGGATGTGAAAGGAATTGGAGTGCTTTTGACTTTGTTCATTCTAAGAAGACGAATAGGCTAGAGCATGAAAGGTTGAATGCCCTTGCGTTTGTTCATTATAACTTGAAGCTTCGAGAAAGGTGTAATCTCTTAAAAGTATTATAATTGTTTTAGTTTTTGTGTATAACTTAGCTTTCATTTTTAACCTAGCTTAAAAGTATTATAATATTATAATTTTTGTTTGTTTATAGAATTATTTGTAGAGGCAAAAAAGCAATGGATCCTCTTAGTCTTGAAAATATTGATATATTAGCTGATTGGATGGCTGAGGAACCAGCTCTTCTTGACAAAGATGATTATAATGTGGATTGGGCAGCTATTGATGAGTCTTTGTCAAATCAAAGTCTTGATGATACTGATAATGTGGTTTATGATAAGGAAGATATCCCACAGATTCCTGAAAATGAAAATGAAAATGAACTTTGGGTTGGGGTTAATGGAGTTACAGGTTATGGAATTCCTCCAAATGAGGATCCTTATAATTATGTCCAAGATATTTAGTAATGTTTTGAAATTAATTATGCTGTTTATTTGTAATTTTCCCTAGATAGAAACAAGTGAAGAACCCTTGTGATGAACCCTTGTGATGAATGTTTTTAGCTTTTTAAATTGAATATGATTTTCTATTGTCTGTTTAATCATTATTATCATCTTAATGTTTTTAAGTTAAAGTATCCAAAGGATTTTTGCTTGAGTTATAATGGAGTTTAAGTTAATGGTTGAAGAAAGAAAGGATTATACCAACTCAAAAGGTTTTCTCAAATCTTGTTCTTAATTATATTAGTTTCTTTTATAATTATTTTAAATTTTGATATTTAATTTATAAAAATATATATTTATAGCGATAAATTTGAAATGGTACATAAAAAATTTCGATATCCGATATGTACTATTTCAGTAGCAAAACCGATACGTATGCTGGTATGGTATAGATTACTTTGATCATTATCCTTCTATAAACGGAATCCAACAAAGAGCAATTATTTAACTGCAACTTGCATGGGTCGTTCTCAAATGTCAACACCAAAGCCTAGCGAGCAGATTAATAATCTCTTGAGCAATTATCTAACCGCAACTTGCATATTGCCCATTTTCAAAAAAATTAACTGCAATTTGAATGGGTCATTGTCAAATGTCAACACCTAAGCCTAGCTAGCAGGTTAAGAATTATATATATATATAT